GTCAGGCTCTGTGCTGACTGCCAGCTCAGAGCCTGGAGCCTGTTTCAGTCTGTGACTCCCTCTCTCTCTGACCCTCCCCTGCTCACGCTGTCTCTCTCTCTCTCTCTCCTAGAAATAAATAAAACATTAAAAAAAAATAAATAAAATTTGTTTTTAAATTAAAAAAATTTTTAATATTTATTTATTTTTGAGAGATAGAGAGGCAGAGTGTGAGCAGGCAAGAGGCAGAAAGAGGGGGAGACACAGAATCTGAAGCAGGCTCCAGGCTCTGAGCTGTCAGCACAGAGCCCAATGAGAGGGTTGAATTCTCAAACAGCAAGATCATGACCTGTACCAAGGTCAGATGCTTAATCAACTGAGCTACCCAGGTACCCCTTTAATTTTTTTTTTTTTTTAAGAGAGAGAACACAAGTGGGGGCAGAGAGATGGAGAGATTGAATCTCAAGCAGGCTCTGAGATGTCAGCACAGAGCCTGATGAGGGGCTCAGCCTCATGAGCTGTGAGATCATGACCTGAATCAAAATTGAGTCCAGCTGAGCCACCCAGGCTCCCCTATTCTAAGCCACATTTCAAGTGCTTAATAGCCATACGTGGCTACTGTATTAAGAGAGTGCTGCTCTAAAATATCCCAACTACACATACACATCTACTTTAGTAGTCAGGCTTTCTAAATATTAGACCAACATAGTCTAGTGGTCTATGTTAAGTCTCATACAACATTCGTTTCTTTAGAAATTACGGCTTCACTGGAGTGCCTGGGTGGCTCAGTCAGTTAAGCCTCAGACTTCTGCTCAGTTCATGGTCTCATGGTTTATGAGTTCAAGCCCTTCATCCAGCTCTGCTGTCAGCACAGAGCTTGCTTTGGATCTTCTGTCCCTCTTTCTCTATACCTCCTTCACTTGTTCTCTCTCTCTCAAAAATAAATTAATATTAAAAAAAAAAGAAATTGTGGCTTCAGTAAACAGTCTTCTTAACAGAGCAAAGATTAAGAAAGTAAAGTCAGGGTCATTCTACTTGGAGACAATCAAGTTTGTAGTCATAGTGCCTTAAGTATAAGTATTCTTTGACTTAAAAAAATTCATTAAAAAAAATCTTTTATTTTTTGATTTATAAAAATCAAAAAAATGTACACAACAAAATTTTGAATACAGAATCTTAATAATCAGTTTAATTATACAATCTAGAATACCCAATAGGGGAGAAAATCTGATTGAGAACAAGATGAGATTTGGATTTTCATAGCATGCTATGTCTGCGTGGAAAATCCTCATAACAGTTCATAAAAAAGAGTAAAAAAAAAAGAAACTATACTTAAAAATTTTTTTAGTAAACCTGTTTGATGTACTTGGGACTAGAAAAGGAAATCTTGGTGAGAATATTAAGGATGAATACCTAAACTGTGGCAATTATAAAAGTACATTATATTTTGTCCTACATATTTATATATAAATTTTCTTATAATAATAAATGTATACCAAAGAAACAGTTTAGTTTGGGATCAACTACATAGTACTTTAAACCTTTAATTAAGGATTCTAAGCTCCTTGGGGATAGGTCTATATGTTTAAAAAAACTTTTTTTAATGTTTTATTTATTTCTGAGAGAGAGAGAGAGACAGCGTGAGCAGGGGAGGGTCAGAGAGAGAGGGAGACACAGAATCTGAAACAGGCTCCAGGCTCTGAGCTGGCAGTCAGCACAGAGCCCGATGTGGGGTTGGAACCCATGAACCGTGAGATCATGACCTGAGCCGAAGTTGGACACTTAACCGACTGAGCCACCCAGGCACCCCATCGGTCTATGTTTATTTCACCATGGTAGAATATATAATAAGCACTCAATAATTATTTAAATATTTACTGACTATTATATATTAAGCACTATACTAAATTCTAAAAATGTATAAGCTAAACTCTTTGGTATCAAGAAGTTTTTAAATGAACAAGAAAACCAGGTCCTATATGCAGTAATAGAAACAATATATAATTAAAGGCCAAACAGGCATATGGATAATTCTAAGTTCAAAGAATTCACACCAATCAAGGTTGACTGAGGTGGCTATGAAGTAGGTCTTAGAAACAAGTAATTAGGTAGTCAGAGAGTAGAGAACATTCCTGGAGTTTGGAAGAAAGGCAGAACAAATGGTACTGCTGTGAAAAAGGACAAAGGCTTAAAAATCACAGAAACTAAAGAGATAATAAGGAACTTACATTTCACCTGTTCTAACCTCCCATCATCTCTGAAGCACCCCTGACTAATGGCTATTAGGCTACTTATGAATACTTGAAATGATAGAGGCAGTTTAGTTCACTTTTGGTTATATTTATTAGAAAATTTCTCTTTAAAATCTCTGTACAAAAGAAAAAGGTGTCCATCAAGAGACAATAATAAATTTAAAAAATTGTGTTAAAGTAATATATATATGTTGTTAAAAGGAGAAAAATAGTACTAACAGATTGGAAAAAATAGCAGCTCCCTACCTTTATTCTGACCTCTCAATCTTCTTGAATGTCAAAACCTTTTTCTTTTCCAGAACCTATTTCTAACAAATGAACACTTCCATTGTTTAGAAATCCTAGGCCATTCTTTCTAGGTCTGTGGCTTTTTTGGGGGAGAGGAAAAGGAAGGGGTCAGAAAGCTCTTAAGATATTTTCTTAACTCTCAGTGTTCTGAAATTTCAAAATAATGTGCTTTGGTGTAGGTCCATTTTCTTATTATGCTGACCTTGTTCAATAAAGCATTCATTTCTGGGATGGTTTCCTATATAGTTTTGATATTTTTTCCCTCCCTGGTTGTTCTTTTTCTGAAACTCCCATAGTCAGGTATTAGACCTCCTGAACCATTCTTCTCTTTTTCCTCCTTAAAATAACAGTAACAAAAACTTGTCTTTTTTGTACTACTTTCTGGAAAATCTTATCTTTTCTTTTCCAGCCCTTCAAATGAATTTTTTATTCTAGGGGCGCCTGGGTGGCTTAGTCGGTTAAGCGTCCGACTTTCGCTTAGGTCATGATCTCGCGGATCGTGGGTTCGAGCCCCGCATCGGGCTCTGTGCTGACTGCCAGCTCAGAGCCTGGAGCCTGTTTTGGAGTCTGTGTCTCCCTCTCTCTCTGACCCTCCCCTGTTCACGCTGTCTATCTCTCTCTCCTAGAAATAAATTAAAAAAAAAAAAAATTTTTTTTAAATGTTTATTTTTGAGAGACAGAGCATGAGTGGGGAAGGGGCAGAGAGAGGGAGACACAGAATCTGAAGCAGGCTCCAGGCTCCGAGCTGTCAGTACAGAGCCTGACATGAGGCTCGAACCCATAAGCTGCAAGATCATGACCTGAGCCGAAGTCGGATGCTTAACCGACCGAGCCACCCAGGCGCCCCATTTTTATTGTTTTTTAAAAAGTTTATTTATTTATTTTGTGAGAGAGAGTACACAGGAGGGGCAGAAAGAGAGAGAGAATCCCAATCAGGCTCTGCACTGCTAGCGCGAATCTGATATGGGACTTAAACCCATGAATTGTGAGATCATAACCTGGGCTGAAATCAAGAGTCAGACGTTCAACTGACTCAGCCACCCAGGTGCCCCTCAAATACTTTAATTTGAATGTTTGTAATCATTCTACAAACATTAATAGTGGAATCTACAATGTTAGAGCTGGAATAGATGAAGTGTTTTTTGTTTTTTTTTAAATGAAGTGATATTTGAGCTTCGGTTTTGAAAGAAGGGTAGCAAAATTTGACTAAGAAAAGCCAATCAGAGATCACAGATCTGCACTGTCCATTATACTAGCTACATGTGGCTATTTAAAATGAAATGAAATTGAGGGGCACCTGGGTGGCTTAGTCAGTTAAGCATCCAACTCTTTTTTTTTTTTTTTTTAATTTTTATTTACTTTTGAGAGAGAGAGAGCGAGCGAGCAAGCAGGTGAAGGGCAGAACAAGGCGGGGGACAGAGGATCTGAAGTTGGCTCTGTGCTGATAGCAGAGAGCCCGATGGGCTTGAACTCACAAACTGTGAGATCATGAACTGAGCCGAAGTCAGATGCTCAACCAACTGAGTCACCCAGGTACCCCCAGCATCCAACTCTTGATCTCAGCTCAGGTCTTGGATCTCATGGTTTTGAGTTCAAGCTCTGCACTTGGTGTGCAGCATACTTAAAAAACAACAAACAAAAACAAAGAAATTGAAAATCCAGTTTCTGACTATTCAAGTGGATTATGCCACATGTGGATAGTGAGTACCACATTGGGTAGTGCATTACATTTCTATCATCCCAGAAAGTTCTATTGGCTCTGTTGCTATAGGATGTTACTTGGGTGTTGTTATATGAAGGTTTGACCTCTATTAGCCGGAAGATTTATAAATTCTCTACCTCCTTTATATTCTCGAATATACAGTTCAAGTTTAAATTTTTTTTTTTTTTTTTTTTATTTCTAGGAGAGAGAGAGAGACAGCGTGAGCAGGGGAGGGTCAGAGAGAGAGGGAGTCACAGACTGAAACAGGCTCCAGGCTCTGAGCTGGCTGTCAGCACAGAGCCCGACACGGGGCTCGAACCCACGAACCGCGAGATCATGACCTAAGTGAAAGTCGGACGCTTAACCGACTAAGCCACCCAGGCGCCCCATCAAGTTTAGATCTATATTTATCATAACACTAATCAGGATACATCAAAAACAAAGAACAAAAGTACCATATACATACTGGGTGTTAAAGCAATAGCTGTTGAAACTAAGACTGTAAGAGTCAAACAATCATCCAGACCAATTGACAATATAATCTTATAAGTATAGATTGTGGCATTTAGATGTTGCTTAGTAAATATCTATTAACTCAAATTGTATTCAACAGCATCATTTGAGCAACTGACGAAAGAAAGAACAAAAACATTGCTATGACATTTGTTACTGAACTGGTTTCAGGATAAACATCAATCCATTCTGGGCTAAATCCAAGGAAAATGAATTACTGGACTGATAGAAGGGGGTCTATATAAAAAACTTATATTAAAGTGAGACTGCAGTATATTGACATACCTCTGGTTCTATGTTTGATATCAGATTCAGCTTCGTTTTTCTCCTTTCCCTCATTAGTGGAAATGGTATCCAATTCATGGCAGATGGAGCTACAAATAACAGAATAAGAGAATTTTCCCTCTTTTTATTTAACTCTATGCTCAATATCGGGCTTGAACTCACAATCCCAAGATCAAGAGTCATATACCAAATGAGCCAGGCAATTGCCCAAGAATAAGAGAATTTTAAAGTTGGTTCTTGGTCAACATTACCCAGTGTATGACAGCACATAAATCCTACAAGACTTTTGGTGAAAAAATTGTATGACCAACTAAATTTGGGATAATCTTTTTTTTTTTTTTTTTAAAGATTTTTATTTATTTCTAGGAGAGAGAGAGAAAGACAGCGTGAACAGGGGAGGGTCAGAGAGAGAGGGAGTCACAGACTGAAACAGGCTCCAGGCTCTGAGCTGGCAGTCAGCACAGAGCCCGACGCGGGGCTCGAACCCACGAACCGCGAGATCATGACCTAAGCGAAAGTCGGACGCTTAACCGACTAAGCCACCCAGGCGCCCCTAAATTTGGGATATTCTAAAAATCACAATCATTAATATGCATGGAGTTTTCTATGCATATTAGCATAATAAAAACTGGGAAATCTTACAATGAAGAACTACTTATTTAAGTGGTTATTTTCCAAACTTATAATCTTTTTTTTTTTTAATGTTTATTTTGAGAGAAAGAGTGTGAGCAGGGGAGAGTCAGAGAGAGAGGGAGGGAGAGAGAGTATCCCAAGCAGACTCTGTGCTGTCAGAGCAGAGCCCAACACAGGGCTTGAACTCCTGAACCATGAGATTATGACCTGGGCCGAAAACCAACAGTTGGATGCCTAACCAACTGAGCCACCCAGGCGCCCGTGAACTTATAATCTTTTCATTAGAGAACAGCAGCTTGTGTTCTGTGTAACTCACTAGAAAATGCTGCTTTACTAGGGCATCGTCATATAGTGTCAGAGCAGCTACTTCTCTGGACAGGATCTAATCCAATCTACTTCAAATTCAGGAACCAATCACAAACAAAAAAGGAATGATCAATGATCTGGAACATACCTTATGGTTGGAACAGTAAATGGATCAAACTGATCCACTTTTTGTAAATCAATAGGCACAGAAATGCGACCTGTAAGAACCAAAAGTTATAAACTGATGACTGTGAAATACAGATTATGGGCTCTCTCCTATGTGTTATTTTAGCTAAATTTTAATCTAAGGCTTAGAATAAGGGTTAGACTTATCTGTTAAAATCAGTAGTTGAAAATTACTTCCACACTAGCTGCATCTTTTATTTCTCTTAAAAAAAAAAAGGTATGAAAGACTGTTGAGCTAACACATAGTGCTCTCATCTCTACTTTTATTTCTATCTCCTTCTTCCTAATATCCTTTTATATAGAAGTACAGAATAATATCAGATTTAGTGAGTTCTGAAAATGAAACAACAGAGATAAAAACAGTTCATTTCATTATTTTGATTTGTTGAGATCAGAACAGACACCTATATGTTGGGCATCTTTAGAAAGCATTTTGGGAATAAAATAGATAGCATTATACTATCCTTTTACAATATCCACAACTGGGATACCACATTAAATTCATCACATCTCAAAAATGAGATAATGAATCTAAAGAATGCCAGGTAAATAACAAGTTAAGATGATTAAGAGAACTGAGAGTTGCTGATTGAAGACAGAGTAAAGACTGCAGCTACTTAATGGAGAAATGATATAATCAAAATGTATACACCTATGAATATAATGATTTACCAAAACTGAATTTTAGAATAAGGGGATACCCACTAAAGTTTTATTTGCTTATTTTTAAAAGTTTTTTTATTTTTATTAAAAAAAAATTTTTAATGTTTTTTATTTATTTCTGAGAGAGAGAGACAGCATGAAGAGGGGAGGGTCAGAGAGAGAGGGAGACACAGAATCTGAAACAGGCTCCAGGCTCTGAACTAGCTGTCAGCACGGAGCCCGATGCGGGGCTTGAACCCATGAACTGTGAGATCATGACCTGAGCCGAAGTTGGACGCCCAACTGACTGAGCCACCCAGGCGCCCTATACCCACTAAAGTTTTAGAATTAAGTTAAAAAATATATTAAGAAATATTAAACTTATTACCAAAAGAAGCTGAAAACAGAGTTGACAGGCTTGAAAAGGAGCTATGCAAATATATGGATTAGAGAATTATTATAGATTATTAAAGGAAACTAGGCAATTTGGGAGAATTGAATGTGTGACGGACACTTTATTAGGCCCTTTACATTTTATTTATTTATTTATTTAATATTTTTATTTATTTCTAGGAGAGAGAGAGAGAGCGTGAGCAGGGGAGGGTCAGAGAGAGAGGGAGTCACAGACTCTGAAACAGGCTCCAGGCTCTGAGCTGGCAGTCAGCACAGAGCCCGACCCCACGAACCGCGAGATCATGACCTAAGCGAAAGTCGGACGCTTAACCGACTAAGCCACCCAGGCGCCCCAGGCCCTTTACATTTTAGATCTTTACAATAACCCACTAAAGTAGGTACTATTATTATCTCTATTTCAGATGAGAAAACTAAGGCACAGAGAGTAGTTTGGCTAATATCCCACAGCAAGTGGAAGGTTGGATTATTGATTATTTATTGGATATTAGTTCTAAAAAGGACAACTATGTGTAACTACATATGTCTCCTGGTTGGATAAAGCAAAGTTTAGATCAATATAGCCACCTTTATATCTATTTTAAAGTCAGTTTCATTCCATCAAAACACCTAAGAAAAATGTGAAGGAGGTGGGGCGCCTGGGTGGCTCAGTCGGTTAAGCATCGGGTTTTGGCTCAGGTCATGATCTTGCGGTTTGTGGGTTCGAGCCCCGCGTCAGGCACTGTGCTGACAGCTAGCTCAGAGCCTGGAGCGTGTTTTGGATTCTGTATCTCCCTCTCTCTCTGACCCTCCCCTGCTCGTGCTGTCTCTTTCTCAGAAATTAAAAAAAAGAAAAAAGAAAAAGAAAAAGAAAAATGTGAAGGAGGAAAGTTAAAACTGTGGAGAGAGAACTGAGGGAGGAAGCATAGTGGGAATAGCATAGAAATTTGTGGTTTAAGAACTGAGTTCTGTTCCTAGCTCTGCCACAATTTGTTTTATGACTGCAGACAAGTCTCGTTAACCTGTTGGACCACTGTCTTCTCATCTGTACAGTAAGAAATATTGTCCCGTGATTTCTAAGTTCCTCTAGAATTCTAACACCGAACCTCAGAAACCCAGATGAAAATTATTTATGTAGTGGAAACTCATCCGGTAGGTACTAATCAACAATTAAAACTTTCATTTTCCTTCTAATTTTCTTTACTTTCTTTACATTGTACCTGTTTTAGGATGAACACTAAAAGGGCTCTTCAGCAAATGATTGATTCCTTTGCTAACATTGATATCCAGCCGTGGAAAACAGTACTGGAGCATGATCTCCCACTCAAGCCAGGGTCCACATTTGTCGTTTTTTGTATTATCCTAAAAGCAGGTACAAGTCTAGCATGAGGATCAGTAAGAACTGTTGAAGATTTCTTTAAAAGTGGTTAAAAATGATTTTCAATGATCTTTAACTTACTAAGCAAAAACAATTAAGAATTACATTATTATATTTATAACAGAGATTTCGATGGAATATACCTGAGAGCTGATGGCTTTCTTCAAATACTCCCAACGCTGAAGTGAATTGTGATACCTGTGGAAGTTTTGCTGAAGTTTCTCATGAATTGGTGAGGAGTCATTAAGGAACACACATGTTTAGGACATATCAATGAACAACTTATTTTCAGTATATGTTACAAGGATAATTGAAAGTTTACTAGGAAGTAATTATTGTTTTCTAAAATGCAAATATATATATTTTTAAGTTTATTTATTTGTCTTGAGAGAGACAGAGACAGCATGAGTGGGGGAGAGATAGAGAGAGAGAATCCCAAGTAGGCTCCACACTGCGAGCACAGAGCCTGATGCAGGGCTTGAATGTACAAAACTATGAGATCATGACTTGAGCCAAAATTGATAGTCGGATGCTTAAATGACTAAGCCACCAAGGTGCCCCTCTAAAATGCAAATACTAATTGAACACATATCCTTAAAACATTCCTCTGTAAAAATATACTGATATAACAGAAAGAATGCCAAAATAAATGCCAGGTTTAATATAAAAGCTTTCTGAGGTCTGTACATATTTTGACTACATGATTCAGCATTGTTTTAAGAATCCATTAATTCTATGAGGATCAACTTCCAAAATGAGGAAATTTCTTTCTGAAATGGCCTCATTTTTTATTATATTCCAGACTAGAGATACTAAAATGCAGAAAAACAGATGTTTTATGTAAAAAGATTAAATTTATAAAAGTACATGAGAATATACAGGCAGAACACATTTATTAATATCCTAGATAAACATATGTAGCTCACATGGAAATGGTCTTGGGAAAGGATATTTTCAGGAACAAGGGGTAAGATCTTATCCCAGCTTTCTTTATTTTCAAGAATATCTTGATCAACTAGAGCATAGTCTTCAAAGTATTTTTTTATTATGTTTATAGATTTTCTGTAGGAATAACAATAACAAAGTCCTAATACATATACTGCAATACACTGCATAGCATTTGTTGCTATTTGGATAGCTAGTGTTTACTTCTACTGAAAAAAAATTTTTTTAAATGAGCATGTATCAGTCTAATCAGAAAAATACAAATAGAGTTTAGCTATGTAAAATGGGGATAATACCCCTTTGCAGGGTTATGAGAGTTAACTAAGACATTCTAAGGGGTAAGAACCTACTGTAGATAGTACCTGGCTTAGAATAGATATTCAAGAAATGTTTACTTTTTTTTTTAAAGTAGGCTTCACAGGCTTAAATTTACAACCCTGAGATCAATATCTGAACTGAGATCAAGAATTGGATGCTTAACCGACTGAGCCACTCAGGGGTCCCAAGAAATGTTTATTTCTTAAACTCTACAACTTAGAAGTTTAATAGCATCATAAAAGGAAGACAGCAACCACGCCAAGACAACATAATAATAGTAGAATGTGGGATAGAGTATATGTTTCTAACTCTGAATTACTTGCTTTAACATCTCAACAATTATATAGTGCTTAGCATTTTGCAGACTTCACATCTACTGTTTCATTTAATCTTTGCCACAACTCTGAGATAGGAGATGTTGTTTTTCCCATCATAGAGTTAAATACAGGAAACAGAGGCTCTAATATTTTATTAAGGTCTCAGTAAGTTGCAGAATAGAGATTCTTATTCTTTAAAAATTTTTTTTTTATGTTTTATTTATTTCTCTGAGAGAGAGAGGCAGCGTGAGCAGGGGAGGGTCAGAGAGAGAGGATATACAGAATCTGAAGCAGGCTCTAGGCTCTGAGCTAGCTGTCAGCACAGAGCCCGACGCAGGACTCAAACCCGCGAACCGTGAGATCATGACTTGAGCCCAAGTCGGACGCTTAGCCGACTGAGCCACCCAGGCGCCCCTAGAGATTCTTATTCTTAATGCAATGCTCTTTTCACGCAGAGAAGTAGTGAATTCAGTGGGAAGAGTATGGGTTTTGAAATCAGGCAGACCAGGATATGAATCCTGAATAATAGTTACTTGTGTGGTGCCAAGCAAATTATACAGTCTTTTCAAATCCCACTTTCTTCATCTGTAAATGGAGATACCATCATGTCCCTCATGAAGTTATTGTTAAACCAATGAGAACATTTGTAAAACAACTATCATGAATACTGCAGCATGAAGTATTCATTGTGTCATTATATACATTGTATCATTATTATCACTGTAAAGTGCTATCCCAGTAGGGAAAATTGATTAACAAGGCAATTCTAAAGGCACATGCAAGTAAACCAGACACAACTTAAACTGCATAGTCTTTTCCAACAGACCTGACAAAAGGGTGAATTTTTTCACTTAGGTGGACTTTCTTTTTAACGTCTTGACCACCCTGAAAAATAAACCATCAAAAAAGTATATGAAATAAAGTATATGAAATAATTTTAAAATGTCTTTAATGTGTTCTAAAGCTACTGGTTAAAAAAAAAACCTGTCAACATCTAAAAGTTTAGATGCTATTTTCTATAGTCTCAATACTTGTAACTTTCTGGGTTACCTTTACTTGACATAATTGAACCAGAAAAGTAATTTTCCTTCTGCCACAAAGATCTTAAAAAATGTAGCTACTACAATTATTTGATTTGCTGGTAAGATAATCTACTCTGGAATGTGGATTCTATAAAAGTTTAATTTTGTCACTAAACATTTCAGGCTTGGTAACATCTAGCAAACAAAGAAATGTAAATTATCATTAAGATCTTACCTTTACAAGACTCAAGTACTCAACTATCCCAGAACGTACTGCAGAGGACAATTTTCTAACTGATTCATCACAGACCCAACAATGAACACCTCTCCTTCCAGAATATACCCAGAGACGATGCTTAAATCCAAAGTCCTCTGAAGAGGGAGAAATAATAGGTTTTAAAATCTAGAAATAAATTTATAAACTCCTGGTTCTTGCTTACTTCCTTAGCTTCACTTTTACCTCTTATGCACATGTACTCACATTAACTATACTGAATTATTTGTAGTTTTCTGTGTCCTCTATGCTTTTGCCTTCATGGTCTCTCTATTCTGGTCTCTACCAAGAATTTCTTCATGCCCCATCATTTCCGTTTCTCTCCCTGAACAAGTGCCATTTATCATTAAAGACCCAGTGTAGGGATATTAAAACAGTTAATAAATTTAAAGTGTTTAGAACAGTGCCTGGTACATAATAAGCACCCTATATAAGAATTAGCTATTTTTAGTATATGTACTGCAGAAATGAGAACAAGAGTTGGCTATTTTTAATATCATTATCATCTTTACCATCATCTTTTCTAGGAAGCCTTTTCTGATTCAGTCTTTTCCCATACCTGTATGCACTCCTGCTATTCTGTATCTCCATGGAATGCTGTGCATATTACTTAACATAAATATAATCCTCAATTTTATTTGTCTTCTTCTTATACTGCATAACCTACGTGAGGTAATCATTATCTTTCATATTTCTTTCCCTCACCTAAGGCAGTATGTAGTAGACAGAGCTGCTCAACAGATAACTGAATTGGGAAAAAACTCACCGGTTTGATCAACAGCTTTATTAGAATTTAAATTATAATCTTATTCTAATCTTTTATTTTCTGGTCATATGTTTCAATGAAACATGTTAGAAATTTATGAGAGTTGATTATAAAGTGGTATAGATAGACAAATATTCAGAGGAAAATAGATTCTTGCATTTGACCCCACTCAGGCACTGCCAATACTTGCCCTTCAGTGCTCGGTCGATTATGTGTATGGCCATCGTCATGAGGGTCCAGCACTTAGAACATATATCTGCAGAACTGGAGCAGAGGCATCATTACTCACTGTTAGTGATATCACCCACCCTACCAGCAAGGCATGTAGCACTTACCTACAACATCTCCTCACATCGTCATAGTCTGTCATGTCAATGTCAAACACCAATTCTTTTTCCTGAGCCTGGAAAGCTCCCAGCTTCACTGTATTGTGTTGATTGGGCTATAAGTAGAGAAAAAAATATATATTTTTAAAGTATTTTAAGTAAATAAATATATATATAACAGAAAACAAACAAAAAATCCAAACCAAAAATATCCATCAGTTTCTATAAGAGCTGTCATGCTGCCAATTATGCTACTTTCCACCCACACAAAAAAAGTGGCCAAGGAGAAACGAGCGAACCCTAATACCATGCCAATTCTATTTCAGTTAAAGTTCATAAATTTGGATTCTGTGCATCCAGAATTGATGACAGTATACATTTACTTAAAACAAGTTTTGATAAATCTATATTGCCATAAATATTTTTTTCAGTTCTACTGAGATATAATTGACATGCAACTTTGAATAACAAATATTTGTTATTAAAAATCATAATAATACATTTTTAGGATTCTGATAAGGAAAAAAGCACATACAAATAATTAATGCCCTATTGCAAGCTGTTTTAAGGACCTTTAATTGTAACTGGACATATAAGTAACAAAAAGTATTTACAATTTTTCAATAGGAGTGCCTGGCTGGCTCAGTCAGTAGAGCATGCAACTCCATCTCAGGGTTGTGACTTCAAGTCTCTCGTTGGGTGTAGTGATTACTTAAAATAAAAATCTTTAAAAAAATAATAAAAATTTTCAATAATCCCAAAGATCTCAATTAGTTCAAACTGAGCCTTTGGCTTATGCTGTAAATAGCCTCCTTTGAGGTTATAGATCACCAGATATAGAAGGCAGACTGAATACAGATACTTATCTTGCTCTTCTAAACATGCACAAAAGTGATAGTAAAGATTTTCTTATGAAAGGCATGTCTTGGGGCATTTCTGAGTCTGGGCGGCTTAGTCAGTTGAGCGTCCAACTTTGGCTCAGGTCATGATACCATGGTTTGTGAGTTTGAGCCCCACAATGGGCTCACTGCTATCAGTGTGGAGCCCACTTTGGATCCTCTGTCCCTGGTGCCCCTGTCCCCCTCCCACTCGCGGGCGCGTGCGCTCTCTCTCTCAAAAATAAATATTAAAAAAAAAAAAAAAGGCATGTCTTTAGGGGAAAATACCACCACAATTTTTATAAGGATACCCATAAGAGCTGAATCTTTTTTTTTTTTTAATGTTTTATTTATTTCTGAGAGAGACAGCATGAGCAGGGGAGGGTCAGAGAGAGAGGGAAACACAGAATCTGAAACAGGCTCCAGGTTCTGAGCTAGCAGTCAGCACAGAGCCCAACACGGGGCTCGAACCCACTCGAACCGTGAGGTCATGAATTGAGCCGAAGTCAGATGCTCAACCGACTGAGCCACTCAGGCGCCCCCATAAGGGCTGAATCTTCAGCTCTCAGTAAAGAAAGATAAAAAGCAACCCAATTTACACCTCAGCATCCCTAAAAAACTCTGGTCACAATGGGTATCTCTGGAGTAAGTGTGTGTGTGTGAGGGGGGGAGGTGGTGGTAGTGGTGGTGGTAAAGCTAAGACTAAAAATAAGAGAACTGGTTAAAACTCTATTTATGAAGCAGTTCCCCAGATTCCTCCATTAACTCTGCAGAGCTAGGTGACTGCAAAAACACCTAAATTATTATCTGGAGAACCTCAAACAGTGGGTTTCTGGACTGGGATGGGGGGCAGGAACAACAGATACAGGTGGAGAAAGATGTGTTGTACTGATATACAGGGGATTAAGTGGACATTTACATGTGGAAAGTTGAGACCCAGCCCTCTTCCCCCACATCTATACCCTATCACTGCCACCCAGGGAGGAGACCAGAAGACTCCTAGCTGAGGAATCTGAACAGGAATGTCAGGCACTGTTAAAGGCTCTAGGAATATAGATCAGTGATCAAAACAGATCTCTGTGCTAGTGGAGTTTTCATTCAAGCAAAGATCTAGAGAAACTGACATCAGAGCTTCCTCCCAAAAAGATGACCAAGCCAGATCACCTTGTAATAAAGAAATCTCAGCCATGTATATAGAACTTCCAGTCAGCTTTTTTAGTACTCTATTTTTTAAATGTTTATTTAGTTTTGAGAGAGAGAGAAAGAGAGAGACAGAGCATGAGTGGGGGAAAGGCAGAGAGAGAGGGAGACACAGAATCTGAAGTAAGCTCCAGGCTGTTACCACAGAGCCACACAGGGCTCGAACTCATGAACTGTGAAATCATGACCTGAGCTGAAGTTGGATCCTTTACTGAGCAACCCAGGAAGGAGCCCTCTTTACTACTCTATTTTTAAATATAAGCAATATGTAAGAAATTACAGACTTATGAGGAAAGCCTCTAAGAGGGGGAAAAAACAGGAAAAAAAGCAACTTTGAGAAAACAAGACTGTACAACAGAAGAAAATTTAAAAAAACAACTATTACTGATATCCTCAGATAAGACATATCAATGAAAAAAAAGTTCTTGGAAATTAAAATACAATAGCAGCGGGGCGCCTGGGTGGCTTAGCGGTTGGGCGTCTGACTTTCGCTTAGGTCATGATCTCACAGTTTGTGGGTTCGAGCCCCGCGTCGGGCTCTGTGCTGACTGCCAGCTCAGAGCCTGGAGCCTGTTTCAGTCTGTGACTCCCTCTCTCTCTGACCCTCCCCTGCTCACACGGTCTCTCTCTCTCTCCTAGAAATAAATAAAAAACATTAAAA